ACGAGGCCACCGACGACGGTTCAGACGCCTTCGACGCCTCCCCACGCGCTTCTTTGCGGTCGTTCCCGCCCTTGGCGATCGTCATCGTCTTCATCTTGACCTCGCGCGCGATTCTCGCGCTCGCCTCCCCCGCCGTCGACATCGTCCGTTCGCCCGCGCGTCGCGCCGCCCCCGCCCCCGCCCCCACCACGCGCACCGTCAGCGCGCACGACGCGAACATCGTCGCAAAGAATACATCCGCGAACGTCCGCACCTCGCACCTCGCGCCCTTCACCACCGATCGCACTCCCGGCGGCAGCTTATTCTCCACGCTCCGCACGTACACGTTTCCGCACACCGCCAACCCCGCCGTCGCGCTCTCCCTCGCCGCGTCCACGATCGACCCCCCCGTCGCTCCCACGCCGCCATCGCCTTCCCTCCCGCGCGTTTTCCCGCGCTCGTTCGCTTTCCTTCGCCCCTCGTCGTCGTTTTCCTTCGCCTCGTTCGTCCCGCGCGTCGCCTCGTCCCCGCGCGTCCGCGTCTTCGTCCCCTCCTCGTCCGCGCGCGTCGGCGGGAACAGTCGCGCGTCCGTTCGTTCGTCGTCACCGTCGGTCGCTCGCGCGTTCGTCGTCTCGTCGTCTGCGCCGTCGCGCGCGTCGTCGCTCGACCGTCGTCGTCGTTGATTTCGAACGCCATCGTCGTGATTGCGATGATTATTCGTCCCTCTCGCGTCCGCGCGCGCGCGCGACGCGCCCGCGCGCCGCGCGTCGTCGCCGTCGTCGCCGTCGTCGCGCCCTCGGCCGTCGTCGCCGTCGTCGCCGTCGCTCGACATCGCGCGCGGCGCTGTGGCGACGCGCGCGTCGACCGACCGCGAACGAACGGTCGGGCGTCACGTCGACGCGCGCCATGGCGCCCGCGCGCTCGAACGCGCGCGACGTCGAGTCGCAGGAATCGTGCGCGGCGACGCACTGCGCCGGGAACGGGCACCCCGCGGTCGCGGCGCTCGTCGCGCCGTTCGTCCTCGCGTGGAACGCGATCGATGCGTATCTGACGCCGTGCCTCGGCGCGTACGCGCGGCTGGGCGCGCGCGGCGCGATGGGATCGCTGTGCTGTTGCCTGCTGGAATGCTTTCGGTACGAGGATAAGGTCTGGGCGGGCGACGCGGCGCTCGGGGTGGATTGCGAATTTCGCGGGTGCGATTGGGCGCGCGTCGACGACCTGAGCGCGGGGAGCGAGGACAAGCCGATGGTGCTGTATCAGGGAATCATCGAACCTCGGGACTGCGTGCAGGGCCAGCTCGGGGATTGTTGGTTGGTGAGCGCGCTGGCGTGCCTGGCGGAACACCCGGGAGCGATCAAACGGTTGATATTGAACGGGGAAAAGTCGCTTCGCGGCAAGTATCGCGTGCGGTTTTACGACGGCAAGGAGAAGAGGTGGGTCACCGTGACGGTGGACGATCTCATTCCTTGTTACAAGGGGACGAAGAATCCGATATTTATGCAACCGCACAACAACGAGTTTTGGCCTTTGATCGTGGAGAAGGCGATGGCTAAGTTTATGGGGAGCTACGCCGCGCTGGACGGCGGGTTCGGCACGTGGGCCACGCACGCGCTCACGGGCGATAACGTCTTCTTGCTCAAGAAGCGCATGGACGTCGAACGCACGTGGCGGCGACACAACATGAAGTTTATCGGTAAGCCCGGTGACGGCGGTAAGAAGGATCGCATCTATCACGAAGAAGTCGAGGAAAACATCGTGCGCGATAAATTGTTCAACATCCTGACCCAGTACGACAGCATCAAGTCCCTGATCGCCGTGTCGAGGATGACTAAAAATGGCGAGAGCAAAGACGAAACCACCGGCTTGGTGTCCGGTCACTTGTTCTCCGTCATCTCCGTGCGTTGGGCTGGACGCTCTTGGGGCGTCGGTGGAAAGCGTTTCATCAAGCTTCGCAATCCGTGGTCGACGTTTGAATGGAAGGGCGCTTGGGCTGATGGATCGAAAGAATGGGACAAACACCCGGCCATCGCGAAGGAGCTCGCGTACGTGAACGATCATCACGACGGCGTGTTTTGGATGGAGTTTGACGATTTTTGCGAGTACTTCAACCAAATCGCGGTGTGTGACCGAACGACAAAGCGCGACTTTTCGCTCCGGTACGATCACGACAATAAATATTGTGGTCCATTGATGGGCTGCGTGAGCGGTTGTGCGTGCTTCTGGTGCGGATGCCAAGGTCCGTACAAACTTTATTGCGGACACCAATCGACGACCGAAACGCGTCAGGCGACCAAGTGCTGCGGCACGATGAAAGTCGCGAACGACGCGTGAATAAATTAACGACTACTTTACGCGAGTCGGCTTGTAATGAATTTGAGAGCTCTGTCTCCGCGTTTCGCGACACTCCGTGCGTTATTTAAGCCACTATCGACAGAAGGTCGCCGGAAACGGGGCACATGACCATTTTGAAAATGTCCCACCTCACTTCGACGATGCCGCGCACGCCTCGAAGGCGATGGCCCAGCGCTGTCTCCCGCGAGCAACTGTAATAAAGTAATCACGTGCGTCCACAAAGTATTCATTCGTGTTGTTATTTCAATTCAAATGGCGTGTTTTTGCGTCGCTGGTGGTTTTTACTAGGACGAGGGAGAAGAGAAACGCTTACGGGAGCGTGTACTTGCCAGGCTTGTCGAAGACGTACTCGGCCGTTTCGTTTTTCTTCACGACGAATCCCGCGAGCGCGTCGACTTCGGGCGCACCTTTGCCGGTCGGCTTCCACTGCCAACCCTTGTTCGTCACTTTCAAACCATCGACGATGACTTCCGCGCCCTCGCACGCCTTGATGACGAGCGCACCATCCACTTCGACGTTTTTCAAATTGACGCCAGAGCCTTCGACGACGAGCGCGCTCTTCGCGCCCAACTTGACGGCGCCGACTTTCGACTTGAGTTCATCAAAAGATGTGGCGACATCCGGACCGAGCACAACACGTGGACCCATGGGAAGCTTCATACCGTTGAATTCAGCGTCGACGGCGGCGGCGGGGACGTCGGCACCGGCCAAACGCAACAAGTTTGCGCACGATTCGTAAAACTCAAACTCGCCGCTCGTCGCCGTGTGCGTCGGGCCGTTAGATTTGAACTTGGCCAAACCGTCCGCCGGAGAGTTCTTCACCGGGCTGTAGCCAATCCAGTTCGCAAAGACGGTGAAACCAACCTTAGCCTTCGATCCGAGGCTCTTGGGATAGTCTTGCATCATGCACTCCAATCGCGTCGGCGATTTGAAAGCCGTCTTTGTCTCATCCTTGTACTTGGGATTGACGAATTCTTCGATCGCGCCGCCAGTCTTCTTGAGTTGTTTTGCGTACTCTGGAAGACTCACGATGAGCTGATTGATGTTACCCGGGAATGGGGAGAAGCCCGTGGCATCGTTGACGTCGCCTTCGGGATTCGTAGTGGCTCGCAAAAGCGGATCGAGCTGGTTGTATTCGACGTTGATGGTCATCTTGCGTCCATCCTCGTGAGTTAGCAACGAAATCGCACCGACCGCTTCCTTGGCTTTTCGCGGAACGCACAAAGAATTGAACTCAAGATTCATCGTCTTCGACACCCCGAGCGCACCAGGGATGACGCGGAACACGAGCGAGTTCGTGTCTTGAAAGAAGACGACCCACTTCTTGCCTTGGCTCATCCACTTTGATAACAACCCGCTCGTGTGCAGGAGAGAGTGCACGTCACCGTGGCCGTGCGGCTTGAGCGCGAGCTTGTAAGGATCGTCGTCTTTCACCGCCAAACGTGCATCGTTATCCATCAAGCACGGCACCTTTTCTTGCTTCATGAGCGTGATTTGATCGCGAGACGCGCCAAAGTAATCGTTGCGTTCGAGCAAATCGAGCGTCAGCGCGTGCGTGTCCTCCGACGTCATGATCGCCAACGGAATCTTCGTGGACGATTTCGCCTTCGCGCCGCCACCGCCGAAGCACCCGCACCCACCCGCGTTCGTCGCACCCTCCGCACCCTCCGCGCGTTTCTCCATCGCCAAGATATTCTTCACGTACAACTCCAAATAGCACGCGTTCGTCGCCCGCTCCACCGGCAGCGCGACCTTGATCCCCGAGTACCCCAATCGCTCTCCCAACCCCCCCGCGACGAGCACGAAGCACGTCTCCGCCGTCTCCCGCATCCCAATCTTCTCCAGAATCTCGTGCGCCGCCGATCCGTACTCCACCGTCTTCCCCGTGGGCACGCTCGGCGTCCATCCCTCGAACGGATTCTTCCCCTCCTTCGACGCCCTCAGCAGCTCGCGCGCGTTCGACACGTACTTCGCCACCCCCCCCGGGTACCCCCGATCCGCCCGTCGCACTTCCTCGACGAACGCGCGCTTCCTCTCGTCGTCCACGCCCGGCGCCGGCCAATCCGCGATCAGATGCGCTTGTCCCAGCGCGATCGTTTCGCGCAGCGTCCGCGCGTCGTCCGTCGTCAGCGCGCCGCGCGCGACGTGCGCGTCGACGACGGCCGTCGCGCTCGCGCGCGCGTCGTCCATCGCGGCCATCGCGCGCGTCGTCGTCCGTCGTCGCGCGGCGTCGGCGCGCGCGCGCGCGTTCATTTCCGACACGTATGGGTAAACAGTCACAAGATTTCCGACACGTATGGGTAAACAGTGCGAAGACACACACGGGAGGATTTTCAAACGCCGCGACAGGTGGCGCGAAAAATTTAAAATTCCAGCGACGACCGCGCGACTGCGCGACGCGCGGCGCGACGCGACGCGACGCGGGAGACGCGCGCGCGCGGCGAAGCTTTCGAGGCGTCGGACGCGCGAACGAACGCGAGAACAAACGCGAGACGACGCGAGAGACGACGCGGGAGACGCGCCGACGCGGTGACGATCGACGCGGTGACGATCGACAAAGGATGGCGACGGTCGAACCGGAGACGAAGCGATTGAAGACGGAGGATGGGGAGAAGGAAAACGTCGCGCTCAACACGGGGAACGTGGGGAAGGCGCGGGTGAAGAGCTTGATGTATAGGTATTATAAACAATTTTACCCGGCGGATCTGTTGTTCAAGTGGTTGGCGCACGGAAACGACGAACGACACGCGAGGGCGGAGAAGACGTACCCGAGCCGGCGGGAGTTTTGTTTCGTGCTGGATAAGGAACAAGAAGAGGGCGGGGGAGAGATTTTTGCGCGGTATCAGAGTTTCGTGGACGCGAAGGATTTTAAGACAAACGTGGAGCGGAAAAAGCCGGCGCGCATCGAATTCGGGCCGATTTGTAACCGCAGACCGTCCGACAGGCACACGGTGGAGTTAAAACCGGAGGAGCGGGAGTTGGTTTTTGATATCGATATGACGGATTACGACGACGTGCGGACGTGCTGCAAGGAGGCTGGGATCTGTGGAAAGTGCTGGCCGTTGATGACGGTGGCGCTCAAGGTGCTCGACGTCGGCTTGCGCGAGGATTTCGGTTTCAAGCACTTGTTGTGGGTCTATTCCGGTCGTCGCGGTATTCACTGCTGGATCAGCGATGAGCGCGCGAGAAAGTTGAGCGACGAAGCTCGCTCTGCGGTTGCCGAGTATTTCGCCGTCGTCAAGGGCGAGGGTCAGGGGCGCCGCGTGTTGTCGTCGACGCCGATGCACCCTTCGGTGAAGCGCGCGTACGACGGCGTCTTGAAACAATATTGGATCGAGTCGTACTTGCCCACGCAGCGAATTCTCGAGGACAAAACCAAGCTCGAGCAACTCCTCAATCTGATTCCCGACGAAAACATTAGAGAGGATCTCGCGTCGGAGTTTGCGACGAGTTCGCTCAACTCGGTCGACCGCTGGGGTGTCATCGAGCGCCGCGTGCAAGACTCTTTGAAGAAAAATAATTACAAGCTTACCGGTGCGCTCGAAAAGATAATCCTCTGGCACATCTACCCTCGAGTCGATATCGAGGTGTCTAGACACATGAATCACTTGTTGAAGGGTCCGTTTTGCGTTCACCCAAAAACTGGGCGTGTGTGCGTGCCCATGGATCCCGCCACCGCGGATTCCTTCAATCCGGAACTCGTGCCCACCGTCGTCGATCTGGATTCCGGTGCGCAAACCTTAGACGGGGCGATCAAAACTTTTAACGACACGTTCTGGAACGCGTGCGCGAGGGAAAACATCGAGCGGCTCACCGCAAAGACGCGTCAAGCCAAGGCGGAGCAACAGTCTGGGATGGAATTCTAAATGATGAACTTGTGTAATTGAAAGAGAAAGATTTCGTTAAATTAATTGAATAGTACTTAATTATGGCGCGTTTCTCGCGAGCGACCACTTATCGTCGTCGTCGTCGTCGTCTTGGCTCACAGGCGTCAATTCTATCGACATTAAGCGTTCGCTCGAACTCAACACCTCTTGCCACGTCGGCGGCTTGCTCTTGTCAAAGTACACGTTCTCGACCACGGTTGTGTCCCAACTCTCCCCCGTAGTGCTGTTCCCAAACTTTCGCACGCTACCATCGGGGGATAACACTTCTCCCCACGTCCGGCTGAACCGTTCGCCATCTTCACCGACGCGCCACGTCTCCCCGCTCTTGCGTCCGCTGCCAATCTTGCTTCGGCGCTCTTCCCATTTATCGCCCCATCGCATCCCCATGCCGTTCTCCGCCCACTTATCCGTCCACTTCAGCGTCGCGCCCTCGCCATCGTACTGCTCTCCCCACTTCTCCCACCACGCCTGTCGAACCTCTCGCCCGCTCTTTTCCACCCCTCGCTCGACGGCGCCGTTGGCGTAGTACCGCTCCCACCACTTCTCCTGCCACTCCTTACTCTGCGCGTCTCGCGCCCACTTATCGGCGCTCCTCTCGATGTGTTCGACGCCCGTAAAATCATCCCGGCAATAGATCTCTCGCCACGTCTCCCACCACGTCTCACCCGTGTCGTTAAATCCGCTCTTCTCGAACCCGAGCTCCTTGTAACCGCTAAAATCGCACTTCGCCCACCGCGTCTCGCTCGATCCGCTTCGCCCATCCGGGCAATCTCTCTTCGTCGTCCACCACCTCGACTGATACCCACCTTCTCCACGATCGAATCCTCGCTTTCGCGTCGTCTTCATTCCTCCCTTCTCCTCCACGGACGTCGACGTTTCCCGGTTTCCGCCTCGCGCGCCGTCCTCGCTCGCGCCCGCCGCGCCGTCGTCCTCGTCGTCCGCGTCCTCGAACGCCTCGTCCTCTTTCGCGATCCCCGTGTCGCGCTGCGGCGGTTTCGCGCGCGTTCGCACGTCTCCTCGCGGTGCGTCGCCGCCGCAGACGCGTCCGCGGCGCGCGCGCGCGTCGATCGCGCGCGTCGATCGCGCGCCGCGCGATCGCGTCGTCGTCGTCGTCGCGCGTTCACGGCGCGTCGCCGCGGCGCGCGGAGACGCGCGGCGGAGCGACGCGATCGTCATCTCGTCGCGCGACCGGGTCGCGCGATCGCGGCGCGCCGGGCTGTGCGGACGCGCGATCGCGTCATCGTGTCGGTTGGGCGCGCGCGGGCGCCGGCGCGAGACGGATTCGCGGCGCGCCGACGAGGGGACGAAGCGACGAGACGAAGGCGCGGATGCGGACGAAATCGACGGAATGAGGGAGATGCGCGACAAAACTACTTTCTGCGGTACTTGCTGGCGCTCTTGAACTTGCCGCGGGCGGTCTTGAAGGGCTTGGCGGGGGCGCCCGGGCTCGCGCCGCGAAATCCTCCGCGGAAATCGGCGCCGCGGCCGGAGGATTGGACGCGCGCGTCGTCGTCGTCGTGGACGTCGGCGCGCGCGGCGCGCTTGGCCTTGGCCTTGGGATCGCGCGCGTTTTTGACCATGCGGACGACTTTGGTGGCGACGCCGCCGGTCAAGCGGGCCTCGCGTTCGATGGCTTTGACGGATTTGACGCCCTTGGTCACGCGAAAGCCGCCTCGAGGGGTGTCGTCGTCGCCGCGCTCCTTTTTGTATAGCGCCTGTTGCGCGAGTTTGCGTCGCGCGCGCTTGCTGTCGGGTAAACGATCGGGACCGGCCGCTTCCTGTCGGCGCTTGGCGCCCTTGCGGTGAGACTTTCGATCCATCAAGTCCATTTCGGCTGTTTCCATCGCCTTGAGCGCGTCTTTTTGCGCGTTGCGTTTGTCGCGTTCGCTCTGGAACCATGTCTTCGCCGGTCGCGATTTGATCTCAGCCGCGTGCTCGAGAATGTTCGAAGCCTTATTTGCCTCCATTTCGGCCTTTTGAAGCTGACGTTCGGTGCGCTCTTCGTAGTTGATTTGCACAATTTGCTCCTCCATATCCTCGATTTTCTTGTGCCACTCGGCGACGATGTTCCCGGGCACGATTCGCGCTTTGAGGTTCGCCCCTCGTTTTGCTATGGTTTTGACTAGTTTACGATCGGATTCTTCCATGAAGGTCAACGCCGTGCCTTTCTTCCCCGCGCGCGCTGTGCGCCCGACTCGGTGTAAATAGCTCGCCAAAGTCTTCGGCGCGTCGAACGAAATCACCGCGTCGACGGATGGAATATCCAAGCCTCTGGCGGCGACGTCTGTGGCGATCAAATGCGTGACTGTGCCCGTCCTAAATTCATCGAGCGCTGCTAAGCGCTGCGTCTGCGTCATGTCCCCGTGTAACTCACCCGCTTTGATGTCGCTTAAACCCATGATGATCTTCAAACGATGCGCCTCTTGCTTGGTTTGGGAAAATATAATGGTCGACTTGTCGTAAGAACGACTCACAATGGCCATCAAGAACGCCTCTTTCTGAGCACTTTGGTTAGGTTTGAGCTTTAACACTTCCTCCACCAACCGCTTGGGCGTCGTGCCGAGCGTGTCCGCGGAAAGCCTCGCCGGATTCTTCATCGAAAGACTCGCCAGCGCCTCGACGCCGGCGGTGAGCGTGGCGCTGAATAATAACGTTTGGCGCTTCTTCGGGCATTGTCGAACAATTTCTTTGATCTCTTCCAAGAATCCCATCTCCAGCAAACGATCGGCTTCGTCTAAAATCAACGTCGCGAGATCTTCTAGCCCAAACGAGTGCGTGTTTCGCACGTGGTCGATGACGCGACCGGGCGTCGCCACGACAATTTCGGGTCGAGTGCGCAGCGCAGCTGCTTGCACGTTCGCCGACAATCCACCGACGACGAGCACGGCTCGAATTGTTGTAAACTGCGCGAGACTTTCCGTCATTTGATGCACCTGAACCGCAAGTTCGCGCGTCGGCACCAAGACCAACACGTGCGTCGCCGCCGCCGGCCTCGGTCCTCGATGTAACATCCGCTCCAACTGCGGCAGCATAAACGCCGCCGTCTTCCCGCTCCCCGTTACCGCTCGCCCGCAGACGTCGCGACCAGTCATCGCGATCGGAATCACCGCCGCCTGAATCGGTGTCGGTTTCTTATACCCGAGCGCCTCGCACGCTCGCGTCAGCGGCCGCGACAGGTGCAACTCGTCGAACGCCTTCGCGTCGAACGTCGTGTCCCCTTTCGCCCCCTTGACGACCGCGCGCTCTTGAAACCCATCCTCCGACTCGGAATCACTCTCCGACGACGTCGCCGTCGCCGTGGGCGTCTTTGCTTTCTCGTCCTTCGCCGCGTCTTCCTCGCGCGCCTCGCGCTCTTCCTCGCCTTCGCTCGTCCCATCCTCCTCTTCCTCCTCGCGCTCGCGCTCGCGCTCGCGCTCGCTCTCGCTCTCGTCGTCGTCATCATCACCGCTCTCGCTCTCCTCACCACTCTCGCTGTCTCCACTGACGCTCGCGTCGTCATCCGTCTCGCCGTCGTCCTCGCCCGGCAGCGGCGCGTCCTCCGAGTCGCTCCCGTACTCGTCCTCCGACCCACCCGCGCTCGCGCTCCCTCGCCTCCCGCGCCCTCTCGCCCGCGCGATCTTCTCGTCCACGCTCGTCATCTTGTTCGCTCGCAGCTCGCGCGCGCGCGCCTCGCGCGCGTCGCCAAAGTTCCACGCCTCGGTCGCCGCGCGTCCGCCGCCGCCGCCGCCGCGTCCCTTCGTCGCTCGTCCCGCGCGCGTCCCGCGCCCGTCGTCGTCGTCCGACGCGTCGAACGTGAACGAGGGGTTAAACTCGACGTCGCTCCCGTCCGCGTCCGCGTCGGCGGTCGACGCGCGCGGCATTTCGAGTTTTCGTCGCGTCGCCAAGTGTCGCGAGGGGGCGGCGCTCGCGGCGCGTCGCGACACTTCGCGACGCGGCCGCGATGGCGCGCGACGCGCCGAAGAGCGCGATCCCGGCGATGTGCGCGCACGTCGCGTTCGGCGTGTGTTACTTTCTCACGGCGCAGCGCGTGTTGGACGCGCGATTGGTGTCGCCGGAGGCGCAGCCGTTGACGGGCATGATTTACGCGAGCGACGCCGCGAGCGCGAGCGCGGGCGTCCTGATGGCGCGATTACGCGCGAGAAGAGACGGGCGAGTGACGGCGACGGCGAGGCGCGCGGGAAAGTTCCCGCGCGCGGCGCTGTTGCTGCCGGTGTTTGATTTGTTTGGGCTGACGTGCGCGTTCGAGGCGATGCGAGCGCTCGGGGGACCGCTGTACCAAACCATCTCTGGGTTGCTCATTCCGCTCTCGGCGTTGCTGTCGAAGGTGGTGCTGAAACGCACGTTCACTAAGGGGCAGATTGGGGCGATCGCGGTGGTGATTTGTGGGCTGGCGGTGAAGGCGAAGGACGTGGCGGACGAGGCGGCGAGGCGCGGGACGGCGATCGACGCGAGGGGGATCTTGATCGCGAACGCGGCGACGGTGAGTTATGGGTTTCGGGGATTGGTCATGGAATACCTGAGCGCGTCGAAATCGAGTCTGAGCGGGAACGCGCAGACGATGCTGATGGGAACGTGCGGGTTGGCGGCGTTTGCGATTTACACGCTCGCGAGGACGGCGCGCGATATGGACGGGATGGTATGGGCGTATTACAACGCCTCGCCGCGAGATGTGTCATCGATTTTAAAGGTGCACCTAGGAAACATGCTCAGTCGGGCGTTCATGGTGAAGATGATGATGGCTGTCGTCGCCAGAGCGGGCGCCACGCAGTTGGCGCTCTCGAACGCGATTCGCAGCGTCGGCGTCATCGCGTTTTCGCACGTCTTATTTTGCTCGGACGACGCGAGACAGTGTTTGAGTTACAATGGCGCCATCAGCGCCGTCATGGTTGTCACCGGCGGTCTCGCGTACGCGATGAGTGGGAAGCCGAAAACCGCCGCCGCCGCCGCGCCCAAAACGGCTCGCGCGAGAAAAACCACAGTCGCCGTCGCGCGCGCCGACGCAAAACCGACAGCGTCACCCTCTTCGACCGTCCGTCGCCGCTCCGCGCGTCGAGGATCGTGAAATCTCGCTCGAAACATTCAATGCCACTAATCACGCACATTTCCTAACAATGTTCGTCGCGTCGCCCGATCTCGCCGATGTCGTCGTTCTCGGTCTCGAACGAGCCTGGCACCAGCCTCACACCGCGCCGCACGTTCACGCCCGACTCGAAACGACCGCCGAGCGAAACGAAACGACATGCCTCCCAATCGCGATTTCGCCACTCGCACCGCCCGTCGCGCGCCGCGCGCGTCCCGAACCACGCATCTTCTGGCGTTCGCGTTTGCGCTCGCCTCGTCGCGGCGCGGCGCCGCGCGCGCGGAAGACGGACTCGGTTGGCGCGAAGGCGGGACGGCCACGTGGTACGGCGGACCGAATGGTCCAGGCCCCGACGGCATGTCGATTTATACCGGGAGCTGTAAATACGGCTCGAACATTCCGAGTCACTACGTGGCCGCGTTGAATACCGACGGTACGTTGAACACCGACGCTGCTGCGTGGAATTTCAACTCTGAAAACATAAACTGCGCAGGTGGATACGATCACGGGCTCACGGACGAGTGCGGCGCGTGTTATGAAGTGATGTGCGTCGCGGGTCGGCAGCGAGGACTGGCCGACAGCGCGCTCGGCCCGTGGGCGGGCTGCGCGAACGGCGACGGCGAGAAATCGATCACAGTGCTAATCACAGACAGTTGCCCGTGTGGCCATCCAAATCCGAGGTGAGGAAATTCGTCGGTGTCGCAATTTCTCGATCGATAAAAATTCGATCAATCTTTTGCGGCGCGCGCTCGAGACTGACGAACACGTGTTCACGCGTCAGTAATCAACGATGGTGCTGCGGTGGCGAACAAAACGCGCGCCACTTTGATTTGAGCTACGCGGCGTTCGATTCCATCGCGATCAGGCACCGCGGCATCGTCGACGTCAAATATCGTAAAGTGAGTTGCGATGGGCTAGGACAAGAAAAGTATTATGCGTGACGTCGAGGAATGCCCCGCGCGCCCTTTTGTATACTACGCCGCGCGCAAACGACGCGAGCAGCGTCCCGCTCAACGATACGCGTGAAATGATTTAGAGTGAAACGGCGCTGGGTTGCTTGCTCGCTCGCTTGTTTGATTTGTGTTGTTTCTTCTGTTTGTGATGATGATTTTGATTTTCGATGTAGATGCGCGT